GGCACTCTCTATATAGTACCATGGCCATGTCTGGGAGCTGTGTGTCTGAGTCTGCGATGAAGCATCCACACCGAATCTCAGAGCGGTGCCCACATGGCAAGGGCAGCTGGCTCTTTCTGAAGTTTTAAACTCTTTAAATGACAAACTTTTTAACTTAGCATCCTTGGAAACAGAATCCTGCCTCATCACTTGCATTCAAATAGTCATCACTTCACCTTTAACACCAGACACTCTGGGGGGGAAAAAAGTGTGAACAAATGTTAGTTCTGAGATCTTCGTAGAAATTTTGTGCTGAGCAAAATCTATCCTTTCTAGCATGAAACTGACACAGAAATGTAAAGTTTTGCTTCTTTGATTCATCTCATTACCTAGAACCCTAAGCCATTGTGTGGTCTGTGGCAAAATCCCATGTGTCTTTCGTGACCTAACTTAAATGAAAAAGCCTTCCACCAAAGATGCCTGGCCATATTTTCTTTAATCCTCACCTGAAGAAATGTTTTTATTGATTTTAGAGACAGAGGAAGGGAGAGAGAGAAACACTGATGTGAGAAACATCAACTGGTTGCCTCCCATACATGACCTGGGATCCAGCCTGAAACCTAGGTATGTGCCCTGACCCGGAATCAAACCCGCAACCTTTGCGTATACAGGCCGATGCTCCAAACAACTGAGCTACCCAGTCAGGGCATGCTTGGCCATATTTGTTTTCTTTTTAGTGGTCTCACAGTTATGGTTTATTATATTGTCTTTAATGGTAATTTCTCTTACTATTTTAAAAATATCTTTGCCTTTGCTGTTTTGGTAACTGTTCTTGTCTTTGATTGTGAGCCTGTCCCTTACAGGCTCTGATTGCTTGTTACATGTGGCCCACGTTTCAGTTACTACCTGGTGTTCACACACTTACCAAGAATTTTTTGGCACCTGCTGTATGCAGAGCACAACCCATGCATTCTCATGTCTGAGATGAGATCTGCTTACCAGTTTTTCACAGATTTGAAAATTTAGTGCAACTGGGCAAAAGCAGTTTGAGAGCTGAAAAATCATAGGCATTTTAAGAAAATATCAAAAAAGAGCACAGTGCTATTTTTTAGTGCCATAAAGCCATTTTGTTAAGTTAAGGAAAAACCTATGTGTTAGATTTAACTTTGTTTCTTAGTATGTTTGGTATATTTGATATATAAGACCCAAAAAATCGAAATGATTTTATTTTCTACAGTATGGGAGCGAATAGGAGTCTGAAGGTGGAGTGAGTTGGGAGAGAGCTGTATTTTTGTGAAATTTTTAGTAAATTTTCTGGGTTTTTTTCCCCACTTATGGAGAAGAGCTAGAACATAAAAGCATTAAGTGTTGTTTTTGATTCAAAATATTTCTGAGAGAAATTAAAGATCTCAATAAATGGAGAGATATGTCATGTCCATGGTTAGAAGACTCAGTGTTCTAACTCAGTGTTTGGTGAGATGTTAATTCTCACCAAATTGATGTGCTGAAATGGGCAAACCAACTGTGAAGCTCACATGGAAATGAAAAGGATTAGAGCAGTCAAAGCAACTTAGATAAAGAAGAACAGAGTAGGAAGACTAACACTACCTGATTTTAAGAGTAATTGTAAAGTCATAGTAAAACAAAATAGTGTGATATTAGCATCAAAATCCATGAGATGTTAATTCTCACCAAATTGATGTGCTGAAATGGGCAAACCAACTGTGAAGCTCACATGGAAATGAAAAGGATTAGAGCAGTCAAAGCAACTTAGATAAAGAAGAACAGAGTAGGAAGACTAACACTACCTGATTTTAAGAGTAATTGTAAAGTCATAGTAAAACAAAATAGTGTGATATTAGCATCAAAATCACCAAACAGACCAATGAATCAGAGAAGTCCAGAAACAAACTGGCACATATGACATATGATTTTTTTACAAAGATGCAGAGGCAGCTCAATTATTTCCAGACAATTAGATACAGTTGGAACAATTGGATCTCCATGTGCAAAAAACAAAAAGAACTTCAGTTAGCCTCTCATACTGTATATACAGATTAGGTCAAAATAGATAATAATCTAGCCCCACTGCTGTGGCTCAGTGGTTGAGCATCAACCTATGAATAAGAGGTCACGATTCGACTCCCAGTCAGGGCACATGCCCGGGTTGCAGGCTCAATATCCAGTGGGAGGGGCGTGCAGGAGGCATTTTATTCTTCCAGGGGTCCCCGAGACCACCCATATTAAATGACTTACTAGGACTCATAGCACTCAGCATATAGTTAGTTGTACAGTAAGTTCTCAACATCATTGATAGGTTCTGTGGCTAAGCAAAATTATGTATAACAAAACCATTTTTACCATAGGCTAGTTAATATAAATAAGAGTTAAGTTCCTACAGAATCTCATCAAAGTTATAATCAAGCCAAGTTGAACAAAATGACATTATTTGAGGACTTGTGGCTAAGATTTATTACAGTGACACAGTAAGGATGCATAGCTGGAAGGGGGCGGGGGGAGGACATCAGAAGGGCTGGAGGACTCCAGGTGCAGGCTTCCATATTCTCTCCCTCCCATGAGGGCTCACAGGGAGCACGCCTTCCCTCCAGCAAAGATGTAACCACAGGTACATAGTGTTCACGCCCCGGGAAGCCCATGTCAGGGTCAGAGTTTTTATTGGAGTCTGGTCACCAGTATTTCAGATCCCCAACGGAAAGCAGGTGCTTAGCACCCCAGGCAGGCAAACAACCTTATCAGTGTAGGGTTTATTTCAAGCCAGGTTTTCAGATGCCAACCAAGGGTCAGCCTTGTATGCAGGCCTTTCTAAGATAACAGTGTCAGGACTATTCATTCTTTTCTGCAGCCAATTGTACTTCGGTAGATCTTTCTTTTTGTTGTTTTGCTTTATTTAAATTATTTTTAATTTTTCAATTATAGTGACATACAATATCAGTTTCAGGTGTACCCCTCCAGTGATTAGAAGAGAACAGAAACAGATTCATAGATATGGAGAACATTTTGATGGTTTCCAGATGGAAGGGGGGTGTGGGAGATGAGTGAAAAAAGATGAAGGGTTTAAGAAGTACAAATTGGTTGTTACAGAATTGTCATGGGGATATGAAGTACAGCATAGGGAATATAGTCAATAATATTCTAATAACTATGTATGCTGACAGTCTTATGGGAGCTCCCTTGTAGGTAACTAACTGATTTTCTCTTTCTGCTTTTAAGATTCTCTTTGTCTTTAACCTTTGGCATTTTAATTATGATGTGTTTTGGTGTGGAGCTCTTTGGGTTCATCTTGTTTGGGACTCTCTGCACTTCCTGGACTTGTATGTCTATTTCCTTCACCAGATTAGGCAAGTTTTCTGTCATTACTTGTTCAAATCGATTTTCAACTTCTTGCTTTCTCTTCCCCTTCCAGCACCCCCATGTTACAAATGTTGGTATGCTTGAAGTTGTCCCAGAGGCTCTTCATATTTCTGGATTCTTTTTTCTTTTTGTTCATCTGATTGGATGTTTTTTGCTTCCTTATATTCCAAATCACTGATTTGATTATCGGCTTCATCTACTGTTGATACCTTGTAGTATATTAGTATATTCTTCATTTCAGTTAGTGTATCCATTATTATACCTCAGTAGAACTTTCTAAAAAATCATCGTATGTGTCAGTATGAGCTAGTACAAGGCAACAGTGATTAATTTATTGAATAAGGGGTTGACTTAAAAAGTAGTAATTTCAGATTTGGGGAAGACCAACATAGTGAGATCTTCATTACTTGTTGCACTTCATGCCCTTAAGTCCTCTCGTTAGAATGAGGTGGGATATTAATAAATGAGTCAAGTTGAGATGTTTGGCAAATGGGAGCATCTAATTATTTTTAATCTTTAATAATTTGACTTTTCATTTGAATTGTATTTGAAAATCTTTCCCAAATACATAATTTTCTTTTTTTCTCATTAAAAAAAATCCTTGATTGATAATCATTATTTTAGCCATTGGTTACTGATCATGACCCAGTTCTATAGCAAATGAAAGGTAAAGTATTGGTGTTGAGATTATAATTACCTTAACAACAGCACTACCTCACCCAGATAAGAGGGTGAGTTGAGCTGGAACCCAGCTGATACTTTGATGGCTGGGCCCATAAGCCATGGGCCCAGTGTGGAGTGTGTCTGCCCAAGAAAGCGGCACCTTTTTCTAATTTGCCAAAGGTGCCATGTGGGCTGACTCTGGCTCTGCTCAACACCTGTCCAGGAAGATGGTGGTGTTTTTTCCCCAAAAATGCTGCCTAGTATCATTGAGCTTTCTTGTGAGTGTGTCTTTCCCCTTAAAGAATTCCCAACAAATAACTTTCAATTGAGGGTTGTCTTTAACCAGAACTCCGCTAGGTACAACAGGGTGTATGAGGAGAGGACCAGCTACTTCAGCTGCCTTTTCTTCTATAATTTGGCCCATTGCCGTTGAAAGACAGGCAAATTTACGTATGTTTTTCTTTTGTCTCCCAGGAGGATGCCTGGTGTCTGTTCTGTATCTGGTTCCCATTATTAATGTCACCAGCCAAGATTTCTGTGTCTGTAGCAATAAAAAATTCAGAGCAAGGCAACTCCTATGGCTCCTCTGAGTCAAATGTTTGCTGTTACTGAGTAATAAAGTTTCCTAAAGAGGAACTAAACCTCCTCACTTCCAAAGATACACTTGTTTAAAAGATCCAACTTTGGAACAAATAGGAAACATTTGATAGTCACAATGTGGCTTCCAATAAGTGATGTTCTCTCCATCCTGCCTGAGCCGGAGGCTTAGTGTATGACAGAGTGCGCAGTCGCTGGTGCTGAGTAGACAAAGAGTAATTGGGTAGCAAATCCGTCAGCAGGAGGGTTCTGTTCGGAAGCGTTCAACTTTTGGGAGTCGACATCCTCCCACCCCTTCGCATTTCTTCTGCTTGCCTCCCCTTCTTTCCCTCCCTTCAACTTCTTTTCCCTAAAGAAACTTAAACCAAATCTCTTTCCCCTTTTTATAGATGCGAACCACACGCAAGGTCTCTGTCTGGCCAGTGGGCCTGGTTGGCGGGCGACGCTATGAACGTCCGTTGGTGGAAAATGGCAAAGTCGTTGGTTGGTACACCGGCTGGAGAGCAGACAGGCCTTTTGCCATCGACATGGCAGGTGAGGAGTGTGGGTGACATTTGCGTCGGCTTGAGTGTTCTTACGGATGTTCCCAGTGTCGCAGGGCACTAGACGAAGGAAGCTTTAAAAGACCACTTGGGTGAAACCGCTGATCTTAACATATGCAGCAGATTAGCCATTTAAACCTTCAAAACAGGCTCTTTGGTTAATTCAAATGGAAATTTATTTTGGGGGTGATTAGAAAATGCTCGTTCCATTCCATTTTGGCACTTGTCTGTGCGGCCACCCTTCTATCTAACAGATGTTTATGTGCCAGGTGCAGAGTTGGGCACTGGGAGTCAGTGGTGAGAACTGGCCCTGGCCTTACGTTTTGGTACCTCTCTCCAGGGGTCCAGTTTGTTACAATAACTCACACACTTATGAATATATGTAATAGTGATGTGAGTTTGACAGGCTAATCAGTTTAATGCTTATTGATAAATTTAGTACTTCTTGATACATTTAATAACTAGCATATAAAATTAGGGTTACTTATTTTTCAAGAATGTGTTAATTTTGAATATATCTGTATTTTAAAGTTTTTTCTTTTCTAACCAAACAATTGAATTAAATAAGACCCTGTAGCAGACTACAGATTCTAAAATGCTACTCTGTCATAAGGTGACTCATTTTCTGTGGGTTGTATAAAGTGATGCCTGTGATAACTGTGGAAAGATTCAGTTTGAAACATGAGGCTTAGAGGCAAAAAAATAACCGACATCTATAACCTAGAAGACAAAGGCAGAAAAGCTTCAAAATTGATGTCATCAATCTTCAGCTCTGAAAAACTGCTCTGTCTGTCAGCCTGTGCTTGGCCAATCTTTTGTGTATATTTCCCTACTGCCGTCAGAATCTCTATGCTCAGAATTCTGATGGGGTGACGGCTGTGTTTTAAACTGGATTCATCACTTTTATTCTGACAATACTTTAAATTGGAGGAAGCAAGATTATGAAGAAAACCAGGAGCGTGAGCTGTTGGCTGCTCTTGTGGATGGCAGTGTGGCGGCTCCGTCGCACTGCGTCACGGGGAAGACGAGCTGGTGTATTTACTCAGTGTTTAACAAACATTTCCTGAGTGCCAGTTTTTGGAGACTATGTGTCGTTGTGTCTAACTCCAAGGACAGTCTAGATCTCTTACCCTCTCCCAGGCCCCCCGCTCTCCTTCCTGACTTCTCCATCCTTCTTCTAACCAGCCTTCTGCTTTGGTCTTCAATTCTTGTAGCCAAAGAGCCGAGCTGGCATGTCAACTAAAGCATTTACCTGAAGGCAGACAGAGAGGTAGGCCAGCCATACTTGGAAGGTCCTGGGGATTCTCAGAAGAGGCCTTTCTTCAATCAAGTCTGAATTTGTGGCTCTGAAAATATAAGGCTGACCATAATGTGTCTTGGGAGAATCTGGTTGCTTGCTGATCAGACATGTATGTAACCTTAGACAGAAAACTTAGAGGTCATTAGACATATTCTGTCGCTTCCTGGGACTTAACTTTCCTCATGTGTAGAAGGAAGCAGTGGCATGGCTGGCCACTGACGTCTCCTCTGATGCATTCTGTCTCCTCCTGGCTTCCCACCGGGGCCCCTGGATTCTGAGTGAGGATAGATGTTGGTGCTTCCCTTCCTCAGAGCCTTGCTTCAGCTCAGACTTCCCGGGCACGTTTCCTTACACACAGGCTCTCTGCCCATTACTCCACAAGGTCACTTCAAGGTCAGGGCAACTTGGATGGGTCTTGTTGGATTTTGTTGTATGAACTTTATGTAGATGATTAAGTATCCAAGAAACTCATCGAAAATTTCGCATTGATTCCCCCCAGAATTTGTATCTAAATAGAGATAACTAAAATTCAAGAAAGGCACATGGGTTTTGTGCGTTTTGCCAGGCCTGTGACAAATTATCCGATGCTCTTTCACTGCCAGATTCTCTGGAAAACTTTTCTCCACAACATGACTGATGTTTGGATTTTTCCAAACATTTCAGTATATTTTCAAATCATAATATAAGACATATTATAAAATATGAATGATTTGCTCTTTTGTATTAATTATCCTTGTTTTAAAGTAGGAATAAATAAGAAAACAACTTTTGCCACACTAAATTATTTTCTTTTCACACACAAACGCTTTTTTTTGCAAATTACTTTTCAGTAAATTTTTGATATTTTTGGAAGCCTTAACGTGAGAGTGATTTGGTTGATAAGATAATGAATGATTCTGATTTTGAGGCAGTTCTGATTCTGAGTCTTGAAAATTCACAGCTTGGTTTAGATTCCACATAAGATTCATTTATTCTCCGTGAGAAGAAGGAAAAGACCTTTTGGACCTTCATGTACAATGGGTACCTCCCACCCCGTTGTCAGGTTATGCGTGCAGACACACCCACGATGTCTGGAAAGAGAGGTTAAAGCTGGAAGGCCACTTGGCTGCTACGCCCAGCACAGCCAAGGAGGCTGCTTGGAAAAGGGTCTGAGATAGTTGAGGGAGCTGGGGTCTCTCTCTCGGGTTTTCACAAGCTGATTAAGAAACAGGAAGCGTAAGAACCAAAATGTTAACCTTTCCACAGCTGTCTTGCCTTTCGGGGTTGAGCACACTCAGTAAAAGCCCCTCCGTCAGGGTCTGTCCTGTTTGTATCTCTCTGAAGTCGTAGCCTAGCCCATCACTAGAAGCTCATTTGAGTGTAAGATATCTCGACTAAAACGCTCCCTGTCATTCTTAGGGTTGGACTCTGTGTCTGCATTTGGCCATATTGGACTTTGCAGAGGCTACTTTTGCTATCAGATGAGGAAACATTATTCTGAAATGATCCTGTATGCATGTTAGTGGCACAAGTCGAGATTATTTCTGTTGCACTGGGGGAAATTTTTCTAAAAGCTTTCTAATGATTACTGCAAAAAAAAAAGAATTAAGACACCCATCCACAAGGCGGGAAGAAGCCTCGGAGGCAGCCCCTGCCCTGGCAGCAGCGTGCGGCTGGCTTTGGCAGCTGAGCGATGGCCGCTCTGCCAAGCCGGTGAGGCCGGGAATGTGTCCACGGGTCTGTGCCTTGGGCTTCAGTGCCTGCACCTCGGGCGTCTGCCCACAAACTGGTTCTTGTTGCCTAAAAGCAGGGCAGTCCACACAGAGTTGTCAGCTCGGTTTTGAGGTCAGGGTGTTACTTTGAAGTGACAGGCTCACTGTGGCCACTTCTAGGGAGGTGTGAGTAGGAATCATGACTTGAAAGAACGGAGCTTAAAGTAATTTTCAGCCTCACCGGGAGGTGTAGATTTGTTCAGATGCAGAACTTAAGGCTGAGGTATTTATTTTGAATTCTCAACATTTGCATGCACCTTTTTCTTAACTCTAGGAGGTGGCAGGCAGGGCCCTGAGCCCCTCTAATGACAGTATGTACAGCTTCCAGTTGAGTGCCTGGCACCCATACGGCCTGTGTTCCTGTAGAAATCCAGCTGGGCATACGAACTGCAGTACAAGACTAATGACGTGACAGTCGGCTGCTAAAATACCCAGAGTTAGCGCCGACCCCACTAGTTAGAGGGTTTGCTCCCCAACAAGGCTGCCCTTACTTTAGACCAGCCGCACTGTGGGGGACCCAGGCCACCTGTATTTCTTGACAAATTTACTATTAATTTGATGTTTCCCACAACCCTCTGAGGTTTGATAATACATTACAGGGGCTCACAGAACTCAGGATAGCGCTCTACTTACTTGTTTCTAAAACACAAATGAGGGCCAATCCAACGAAAGACACACGGGGTGAGGTCTGGGGGAGAACCCAGGCTCCTGTGCCTTTTCCTCGTGGGATCGATCGGGATGCATCGCCTTCCCAGCACCCGGAAGTTCCACTGACCTCTGGTGTTAAGAGGTTTTATTGGGGTTTCCCTACGTAGGCACAGTTGATTAAATCAGTGGCCTTGTGATTGAACTCCGCCTCCAGCTTCTATCCCCAGAGGTGAGGGTGGCCCACGGTTCCTGCCTCTGATCACGTGGCTGGTTTTGTGGTAACCAGCCCAATCCTGAAACCATCTAAGTGCCCTCTATGAGCCACCTCATTAGCATAATAAAATCACTCCTGTCTCTCAGGAAATTCTAAGGGTTTTGCAAGTTCCTTGTCAGGAACCTGGCACTAAGACCAGACAAATTATTTATTATACCACAGGCTCAATAGCGGGTAACTTTACTCTCATAAGTAAGAGTGCCTCCTACACCTCGTTTTGCGAGAACTTCTATTCCCCAAAGCAAAGGGGACATGGAAGTGACGTCTCAGGGTCCCTTTGAGCATTGTCCACGAACTTTTTCATAACTCATAACAATGAGACATTGTAAAGCAAGCATGTCAAATTCACGGCCCACGGGCTGCATGCGGCTCACAACAAATGTTTTCTGCAGCCCAGCCAATATAACAGTATGTAAGAAACGTTTTAATAAAAATTTTGTAACTTAATTTTTACAATATCGTAAAAATAACGAACTACAACGTTCGCTAATGACTGATGACTATAATCGTGTCGCATTCATTTCCCTTATGCGCCTTACACGTAAAATAGTGCAGGCGCACATTTCTCTCCACTAATATAGCAGCGACTATTTTAGCAGCCGATTGCCACATCATTAGTCTTGGACTGACTTGTTTGGTGTGCGCAACAGGAAATATTTCGCTTTCAGAAAATAAGAAAAATAGGTTTATTTGTGTTACGCTTATTAATATGGGCAGTTATTCAGTGTCTGGTAGGTTCATGTTCAAGAAAAAATATTAATTTTTATTAAAATGTTCTATTATTTTATGTTAACGATTACTCATTTATTTCAGCCCTTGGTATTCAGCATGTCTCTATCGAAATAAACCTACGTTTCTATGAAAATTGAAGCTTTTGGTTTTTGGTGGCCCACATAAACTTAAACCTTGTTTATCTGGCCCATGTTAGCCTTTGAGTTTGACATGCTTGTTGTAAGGTGGTAAAGCTTTTCCTCATGTGTGGCTGACAGAAGGGGTGAGAAGTCTAGGAGGACTGTTTA